ATTGCTTGTCTCTCTTTCTGCATGGACAATGGAGAAATGCAATCATCAAGTGTCTGCCTCCCCGTGGCACCGCTGGATACGTTATTATTGCTGCTCTAGAGCATTACTATTAACTAACTGAATGACACTCCAACAAAAACCCAAGCTAAGGTGTAAGGCAACGTGCTGAAGGCTGAATGGCCTCTGGGAAAGCGGTTACGAACGTTCCTCTGGAGACACTTGGCGAAACCCCCTTGTATCTAACCTTACCCGGTCATGCGGATCTGATCGAGTGGACATTTATTTCCCTAGCTATTCGTGGAATCAATATGGACCAAACAAATCCAACAAAAACCGCGAACAGGGAAATCCCAGAAGGAAAAAACCTTCCACACCAAATAACAACAGAGGTAATGGAAACCAAAGCGATTTCAGAAAAATTAACTTCGTTTCCACCAACTTCTGCACAACGCCCTAAGGCGGAACAACCGTCGGAAGCAAGTTGCAAATCCTTAAACCCCAAGGAAGAAACTAGCCTGAAACGAGTTGCCTCGAAACTCAACAGCGACACTTAGGCGCCCAAATGGAGAATTTGGCAATTTAGAAGGCTAAGGCTGAAGGAAAAAAATCAGACCTAGAGCTAAGAGAAGGAGGGAGAAGAATGGAGCTAACTCAACTCAAACGGAGCCGCCTCTAAAGTGACAGTCCGTCTTTAACGGAGGCCACGGTAAGAGGTAACCCCAAGAGGCTAAAAACTGGATCTGACAAAACAAGGGCAACCACATCTGCAGTTCAAGCTTGTCCTATAAAGAGCCACTAACGCCCATGAAAATGGCAATAGTGCATTAAGAATTTCCCAAGAAAAAAATGACTGAGGAGCAAGCGAATCAGACTCAAGAAAAACTGATAAGAGAAATTTTAAAAAGTGGGGAGACATCAGGTTTACAGTTCCAGAAAAAATAATTCCATAACGAAGCTCTCTTCTTGATCTGTGCCATTGACACCGCTAAAACCTGGCTCTCCGAAATAACTCCCTAGCTCCAACCATGGCAGGGAGCACAACTTATGGTGGGACCTTCTAGCGAGATCGTATAAACCAACAAAGTTATGGCCTGGGTACCCAAACCCATGCAGAACATAGAAACTACAAAAGTACTTGCGTTCCTCAAAACTCAAAACCAAGGGCTCTAAACGGAACAGTGGCAAGTCATTCACAGGTAAGTGGAAGACAACTGGTACCGTAACTTTAAAAAAATTGATAAAATGTTATTCGAAACTGAGCTACGCAGGCTTCCGTTTAAAAATATCCTGCTCACTAATAATATTGACTCTAAAGTAAGTATACTCACAACACTTATTTTGCAAATATTTGACACTTTCGCCCCAATTCACTCGGTGGTTCTGAATAAGCAGTCCAAGCCGTGGATAACGGATAACATAAAATTACTCTTCAAGTTGCGCGATAATGCTCTGAGACGTTTTAAGCGGACTAAGAGAGAAGCACATTGGGACTATTACAAACTTTTA